GCCACCGAGCCCGCAGGGGCGGACGAGTCGGCGCGGCACAGCGTGCGAGAGAGCGTCTTCGGCACGCCCATTTTGAAGAGCGAGAACTCGTTCACGCGCCTGCCGGCCGCCGACAATTTCACGAAGGGCGTCAGTGCGGTGATTGATTTCGAAAATCTGCCCAACTCCACCGGCAAGTACGAGCAAATGAGCGACGTGCTGAAGAAGGTGCGCAGCACCATGAAAACCCTGTCCAAGTCGTAGCAGGACCGCTGCTGATGTTGTAAATAGAGCGGCAGGTAAGATTAAACGTTTGCTATTTTCCTAAAAATGGGCGGCGCTGTTTTTTTTGGTGCAATGTCTACCCCCACCTGTCTGAGGATGGTCGAAAAAGTCCGAAACTCGGGTATTTTCGCACGGAATCGGCACCTTGAGTGAATTCTAGCGTCATTTGATGCGTCGCACCCGGTATTTTGGGTCAAAAATGCGCATTTTCGCCATCAGAAAGTCCCTCCGATGATCAACTGTTTTAGTTAAAGTTTCCAGTTAAAAAGCCGCGTAGTTGCCAAACCGTGCCTGGTAGATGGCAAGTGCGACCCATCAAACCACACTAGCATCGTCCGGGGAATGCGAATCTGGACTCACATACTGGGTGCGCCAAAAATATTGTTTTTCAAGTGTCTTAAATGAACTCGTGCGTGCTCTGTTAGCGCACGATTGACTGTCGCGATAAAAATTGCGCCGTTTTAGCCGAGCAAACTCGTTTTGTTGCCCGCAGTTTGGTTTTTAGCGTAAATTTCGGTCCGAAACCCCTTGAAGATGGCCGCAAAAGTCCGAAACTGGGGCATATTTGCACCGAATCGGAATCCTGAGTGAATTCTAGCGTCATTGGATGCGTCGCACCCGGTATTTTGGGTCAAAAATGCGCATTTTCGCCATCAGAAAGTCCCTCCGATGTTCAACTGTTTCCAGCTAGGAAGCCGCGTGGTTGCCAAACCGTGCCAGCTAGATGGCAAGTGCGACCCATCAAACCACACTAGAATTGTCCGGGGAATGCGAATCTGAACTCACTTACTGGGTGCGCCAAAAAAAAATATTTCAAGTTTCTTTTAAATGAATTTGTGCTTGCTCTGATAGCGCGGAATTGAGTGTCTGGATAAAAAATTGCACCGTTTCAGCCGAGCCACTGAGAAATTGCAGCCAGTTAAATTTTGCGCGTTGTTTTGATGCCCGTCCATCAAGCCTCCTCATCCTGTTCCAGGCGCGTCATCATCATTAGCCCCTTTATCCTCCGAACGCCCAATTTAACACTGAGAAATCAAGGAGTTTGTGTGGTAATGCACCAAAGCCCCCCCTTCCAGGGGTGGCTAATCATGAGCCCCCAGTATTTTACCCAGGACGTTCTGGAAATGTTGGCGAATGCGCCCATTAATTCGCACTCAAAACGTCAGCAGAAGGAAAATATGGGTTTTTATTCGATTTGAGGTTATTAACAATGGGGCTCCGTTGCAGGGCGGCCTAGTCGATAGGAGGCGCAGGCGGGGGCTGGTTGGAGCCCTGAAACCCAGCCAATCGGAGCGCGACTCGCACACGGAACAGCGTCTACTTACATGGCCATTGGCGGGCTTGTTGTGGGGCTCCAGCGGCATGTCAAGCGTGGGGCGGTAGAAGTGGAGCAGCAGCGCCATCCCCACCAGGAAAATGAGGAAATAGATGTGCTGAAGGGGCGGCCCGCCCGTGGACAGACCCATCAGCACTGAAACGGGGGTAAGTTGTGCAACGCTCACTTGGGGGGCGGCCGACGCTTACCTGGTTCTGAGCACTCGGTGTCGGTGCAGTCGGCCTGCGAGTTGCGCAGCTAAAACACAGGGGGGCTTAATCGGGGGGCCCCACTCGGGCACTGAGCACTCACCATGTGGAGCAGGCGTCGCATGGCCAGCTCGTGGTACGTCAGACACTCGCAGGGATCGAAGTCGGGCTGGTCGCCCATTTTTCGGATGATTCGGAACGCGATTGCAACTCGTACGGCCTGAAATGCGCCCCAATTAGACCATTTCCATCTACGTGTTGCCCGACCCACTGGTGTTTATATACAAACTGTCAGAAAGTGACGCTGTCAACTGGCGCGAGCTGTCCAAGGGCGCGATGTGGCAACGTGGGAGTTGGGGCCAAGTCAACGCGCAGCCTCACCCCAAAATTCTGGGGCGTTGCCGCTTGGCGGATAAATCGGGACGCGCCTCCCTGGGGGGCACAATCCGCTTAGCCCTAAGGCGGCTTAGGGGGCTTTGCGATATTCTCCCGGGCAATTAATCAATCAAATGGGAAAAATGAAGAGTGCAAAGTCGTGTAATCTGGCCGGATGGTAATTAGATCAAGGGGGCGGGGCGTTGCAGGCGCGCCAGCCAATCGGCAGG